ATTTGATTTGATGAAATCTCTCTCGATGATTCCCGACGTGCTTAGCCCCATGGCGTGTTCATTAAGCATTTCAATGGGAGTAGTTGGCAATGTGGAGAATGCTTGGTTGTTTGACTTAGATTGAAGGTAATCAAACCGTCGTAAGCAGAAGTTTGTGTGACGAGTCGAAATACCATCGCCACTATCACGCCAGTAGCTAAATACCACGTCAAAAAGGTCGACCGGATAAATTACTGCATAGAACTGCGCCCATTGGGTTTCAGTAGATGCCTCGCCGGCTTGAAAAAAATGAACAACCGAGAACTCTGTGCAGGAAGATGTCGCTTTGTTCAAATCAGCCGCGCATCGATTTGCGGCTTGTGCGGAGACGAATACCGTACTTGTCATGCCATCGCTTTCAGAGAGGTTTAATCGGGTAAGAACAGCGCGGTTCAATTGCTTGACATTTTCGTTTAGGCAGAATCTAAGGCTTATTAAATCGTTGACTCAACCTTGGAAAGAAAGGCTGCTCTTGGATGTTACCGTGGGTATCCGGATTTCACTTTTAGCAGCACCCAGTCTTCTCCCCTTCCAAAACCGCCTACAGATTCCCAGGTTGGCAAGGAAGGGATAATTGACTGTTGTTTTGATGTGAGAAAATGTTTCTGTTAGAATATACGAGTCAACATCTTACATGGCGTTTATTTGGTGGTATGCGTTCACCAAAAGGTTGACTGTGCAAGATGAGAGGAGCCATTGCTAACGTAGAAGGGAATGGACGAAGTGCAGGATTTATCCTCGGCTTACCTGGATTGATAAATCGATCAATAATCACGTGGTGGACAAAGGTTGCAGTGAAATGAACTCCGTACAAAGTACTTTGTACGGAGTACGAAATACAAGAAAAGCAATGCCCAAATGCCCAGGTGGGTGTTTGGCTTCGAAGGTTAGCTGAGGCGCTTACTTGCACATCAGTGGAGTAGTAGGGGAAATGGGCTAATCACGTTGCAGAGATATTTAGCTAAAGGAACCTTGGAAGATCTCAAGATCCACTTCATGCTTCGCCCATGTCTGTCAGCAGTGGGAGCTGAAATTTACGAGATTATGTATCTATACAGGTAATTATCTTGTCAATCGCTATTCAAAACGAGATAGAATCAGGAGGAACTTCAGGGACTTTTGTTGAACGGAATATCATGCCACTCATGATGTTTCTGGGGCCTTTTAGTGGCCTACTAGGTTTATTCATTCTCTGCTGACCGCGCTCCGAGAGCAAGCCAAGGGGGCTTTTTGACTCTATGTCAGCCGTCCTAGATTGCCTTGCAGGGGTTTATCTGTCAGCAAATCACTCTCGACAAGAGTCAATGTGACTCAGAGTTGTAGGCCTTACCTGGGTACTTTGTATGGGGATTGGATGTTACTCATTATATGGGCGCTTATTGTCAGACGGCAGAGATAGGCCTATAAAGAAAATCTAGTCCCTTGTTATGCATGGAAAAGACAGTCCGTCCTTTTTACCACGCTCACATCTAAAAAGACTATCCAAAAAAGGCCACATAAGCCACCGACTATTCTTATTATGTCCCCATAATACCAACACCTCCCTGCCTACTTTGTAGAGCAAAATATATTGATAAATATAAAAAAAACTAAAAACATACAACAGTGAGGATTCGCTGGTGGTCACCCACCCAACTACTAACTCACCGGCGTGTGGCTTAAGTACGGCTGAGCGGACGGGAAGCCCTGTTTTCCACACCCTATGGTCGTATGTATCATTTTATGTGTGGAAGAGAATGATAGAATATGAGTAATTCGGTTGTATAAAAGTTACCAACCACCTGGGGCGTCTAAAGGGCATCTAAGAAGACCACTGAAAAGACAATGACAAGTCCGCATAAGCGGCCGACTATTCTTGTAGATCATATGTTAAGAACTAAACAAAGCGGGGCTCTAATATCTATAGACAAAATATTAAATAGGCGCCTAGACTTGTGCCTAGATCCATATCGCCTATTCCAGCAATAGTAAACAAGATGCCTCTTTAGGTGATCAGGTGACTTAATTCTTTATGTTTATACTTATCAAGGTATATCGAAAATAGTATGTGTTCAAACTCAATCTCTTCCTAGGCCGATACTTAGCTGTCTCGAGGAGATTGGGAGCTATATGTATTATCAGGGTACATGTATATATATTAGAGCTAACTACCCCACACTGCCACTACAGATACCTTATCAGCTTCTAATGGATAACTCCCAATCGAAACCCTGCAATATGCCAAAGTTGCATTATCGGCAATATTAATCGGACTAAATCACTTTTCTGCTTCGTCTGATCCCCCTCCTTACCTCCGTGTGACTCTAGACCTACATACACGCAGGTACATCCCCCCCCCTCCCCTGGTCTCCCAGTGATGTCATTTTCGATACTCCTCAACCCTATCACTTATCTCTTACAACTCTCAGTGCATTGAAAGCAAAATGACTGCCACTCACTCTACTCGTGTATGTCTAATTATTACCGATAAAATTACTGTGGCTCTATACTAACATTTTGATGTCGCAGGAACAAAGCAACGATAGCCCCAATGACCAGCTTACTCCACCCGCAAATCAATTGTCATTCCCTGGGAAATTGCCTGCCGAGATCATTCAACATATTGCGTCTTATCTCTCAGCTTCAGATCTCGCCTGCCTCGGTGCCACTTGCCGGGCCCTCGCTGATCATGCATCGGATGACTTGCTATGGGCTAACCTGGTGAACAAGAGACTGCCTACGCCTATCCGAAACCCAAGTCCCTTTGAGTCATTTCGTCGTCTCTATCTTGCACACCACCCTTATTGGTTCATTCCTCAGCACAAGATCTGGTTCGCAGATAATGAACACACGGGGATGCTGATCATAGCTCGATATGATGATCGCCGTGGTGTGATTGAAGGATACCCAGTCGTTGCAGAACGCGGTACTCCCCAGTTTCAAATATGGACATCACACCCAGAAGTTATTATACAGTCCTTTGAACCCAATGTACATCTGGCACTGGATGGTCCTATCTTGTCTCTCCGCGACCCTGACCCATCCTCTCGAACAGCCCCAATCCAAAGATTTTTTGCAACAGAGGAACGACACATGTCCATGGTTTCGGATGCGCAGAATATCTACAATTCGCTGTCGGTCTGCGCAGAATTTAGGCCCCGAGTACCTTGGGTCGATCCTACTTTGCTTTGGCCACCACCAACCATCCCGGCTAATGCGCATACAGTTCGTGCTTTGAGGGTCCCACCCCCGGCAATACTGAGCCATTTGTCAGATTTGTCAGAATTGCTTTTCCGCCTCAGGAGGTGGGCAACTCCAGAACTTATGCTGCCGCAAGTGTGTGTAACTTTTTCAACTCTCGATCCCGTCCTTTACACTCCCACTACAGAGAAACCTTACCAGGGAATTTGGGTTGGAGACTACTCAACACATGGGTGTGAATTCCTCCTTGTTCTCCAGAAGGATACGACGGTCTCAGCACACGGTGATGAGAACGAGTGGCAGATAACAGACACCCAGGACGAGGTCGAACACGACAACCAGGAGGATATTGGACAGCGAGGTCCATTGCAAGCTGTCAAGCTTACAGGTGACCATAATGTTCCTCGTGGCCAGTTGTCGTTTGTTGCCCAAGATATTGGCCCCAGAGGCTTGATTGGCGTCGGGATGGAAGAGCCTTTTATCGGCGCTCGAATTGTGCGTTGCCGCGGCCATGTAGCTGGACTTGGGTTCCGTGACGGTAAGCGGCCTTTTAAATAACCCAAAATGATCTTTTCTAACATGTCATTTGCTAGACACCTACATTGACTCCGAACTGATCCTTATTTCTCCCGACCACATGGCTCATTACTGGAAAGAAATGGGTCATGTCTCCTATTACCGCCGTGTGAACATTGATACTCTACTACATAGTTCATAGTTGACTGGCATGTTCTTGTGGTTTTCGTTTTATTTTGTGATTTTTTCCAAAGAAAGCTTTGTTACATACCCCCTGTTCTCATGCTGTATTTACTGATTACTATGCACTGGGTTCCGATATTTTGAAAAAAAAAGAAAAAAAAAACCTTCTAGCAAGGTCTTTGTTCCTCTATCGTATTGCCATGTTGCACTAGTTCGAGTGGAAAGATTCCCATGGTGCATATACAACAGCTCGCTCTTGGGGACCCGTGGAAGGCCAGAAGAATTGATACATTGTCTGTTTTGCCCCAACCACCATAGGGTCGTGAAGATATCCGCAAGATCAGTACGCGTCCTTTGGTGGTAAGCTTGTCGTGTCGCCACTTCAATCGTGCCCCAACACTTCAGCTTCGTGAGGACCAGTACGGGGGGATGCGCAATGGAAACTATCAAACAAGGTCAGTGGAGTCCCAATATTAGCTGAGCAAGAACTTACTTGCTGTGTTCAGCCGGTGCTCTGGACGATCCTCGGGATTCACGTTGTAGACTTCCGTTATTTTGGGATCTGGGATGTGTCACGAGCTATTGTGTGGCCCTGTCATGACACTCACTATATATAACGGAGCCTGGACTATATGAGCATAATGCTCAGATATAGTGGTCTTTTTGGCCTAGTGTGTAGCCCACCAGTCCAGGGGCAGGTTGTAACAGGCCCCATGAGATCGACGTAAACTTTGGTCCCACGGTAATCATAAACCAGTCTGCCATCACCACTGCGGGTGAACCCCGGTTTCTTCAGCAGAAGCTCGCGATAGTCCTTTCAGTGACGATATCAACATGCTGTATATTTGTCAGATCGTTAATTTAAGACTGAGAGATATTAGAAAAAATGTGTATGTAAATCGGCGACTCTGTTGCCCTCCGTTAAGTCTTGTAGCATGACCGATTGACATTTTTTTTCTTTGTCCTTTCCCAAAATGGAGAGATGTTCTCATTTTTCGGATTTTTGAACTATCTGAGTACCACCTAACTAAGTATTTAGTTGGTTAGAAAGTCAGCCACTCTCTGAAGCAACCCACACAACCCTACTTGGTTTCCTTCGCAGTCAGGGCATCACGCATCTCATCTGCGGAGAGAGTTAGTGAGAGATATGGCCGTGGCCGTTGCTCGGCTCGGTAAAGTCTTCCCAGCAGTCTCATTAACTTCCCCTTAGGAATGCCTGGGAGTCCAAAGAAATCGATATGGGCCTTCTTGTCAACAAGCCATTGCAGGATCGTACGGATATCTGTGAGGTCGGTACGCGCCCTAATATGGCTGGCGACTCGCGTCGCCTGATCTGCCTCTTTCCAGGGCAGAAGCTTCGTCAGCAGAAGAATTGAGGGGCGGAGAATTGGCACTATAATCTAGGATTAGTGAGGAATCTAAATTGGCCAAGCAAGAAAGCGTACCCATAGTATTCAACTGGCGTCGTGGATAGTTTGCCGGAGCTACAGTATGGACCCTGGTGGTCCTGGGATTCATGGTCCATGTTACAGCTCCCATAACTTCCAAATCGATATGGACTTTTGTACCACGGTGGTGGTACACCAATCTCTTATCCTCGCTCTTAGTGATCTTCGGGCACTGGAGGAGAAGGCTGCGGCAATTTTTGTCCACGATAAGGTCGATGTCCTATGGTTTTGTTAGATCAAGAGACCTCTTTGAATCAGAAAAAAGCAGAAGGTGGTACCTTTGTTACTCGGCCTCCTCCAAGGATACTTGTGGCATACCCGCCGATGAAGATGTCGGAGATGCTTTCGTCACGCAAGATGTTGGTCAAAGTTGTTGTAGCTGCTGCGTTCAAATGACTGAAGTCGCTTTGAGAAGGCATTGTAGCGGTTGTTGGGGAGGAAGAGAAGAGAGAGAAGAAGAAGAGAAGTGGTCTGGTATTTATAGGACGAGGGGTGGAAGATGCGTAGGGCAAAAAAATCAAAATGATTGCTCTTCAGTTCAGAAGTGAGGGAAAAATAAGAGGGCTGTCACTTCCTGTTATTCACTCTACCCTGTACCTTCCCACTACGCCCCCTGGGTCTTCGTTTATGATAAGAAGCAACGTCTGTCCCCGACCCTGGTTATCATTTCATCCCATCTTGCAACCTTGATTTTACAATTACTAATCATCAACAATGGAATCCGAAGAGACCAAAGAGCTCGCGGGCCCCCCCTGTTGCCTCGCCCATCATTGAGGCAACGCCAAATTTTCTCAAGGAGATTGAAGGACTCTCGGTCCCCCTTCCCACCTCTCCTATCATCGAGCAGATATCAACTTCTGTCGAGGAGACCACGTTGTCTCAACCTACCCAAGTCTCCTTGGAAGAACCAAGCCAACAGACCGAGAAACCAGACGCACAGCTTGTAAAAGCAATACCTCACCAAGAATTTCCCGATTTCGGGATCAAGGAAGCGTTGAAAGCACTTATCGACAACACCATCTCGGTTGTGGAGTATGGGAACCAAGTTCTATACAGATGTGGATATGCAGAGGTTCTGATTGTACGTGATGAAACATTCCATTCCACTCCCCCAGACAGAAATATCCAGCTAACATTGTTTTAGCAGGTCGTGGAGTGGGTTGTACCTGATAAACAGCTGTTGCTTGCTTCACAGGTGTTGCTCGAAAACAACTGGCCCCGCATTCTTTACCACGAGAAAGATTGGAATGGTAGATCTAGAACTGCTGAATACTGGGAAGCTCAATATCTGATGCACGACCTTGATGGTGAGGGCTGGATGCGTGTCCATCTTATTCCCCTGTCGTTGGTTGGTTTCAATCTTAATGACACTGTCGAGGTTCCCTCGAAATTTTCCCACGAGCTCCACCTCCTCACTCCCAAACCTCCTCATTACATGTCATCCTTGATACACCATCTCTTGCAACTCCCGCTTGATCACAATAGCCGACTTCGAGTTGAGAAGGACCTTATGGGGTTTATTTCTGTTTACATCCTCAAAGATGGACCGACTAATACGACCATGTGGAGCTATCTCAATGACCTGGAGAGCAACGAGGATTACCAGAAAAGAGTTGAAGAAGGAGTCCGGTTTATGAAGACATGGGACTGGGGAAAAATTGAAAACAGATACCTGGTCATAGCTGAGCGTGCGGTCCGAGATTGCCGCTACATCAACACGCTGACGAACGTTCATGAAGAGCAAGACACTCCCTGAGTTGATCTTACGAGGTTGCAGGAACATTTGTTGCTGGGTATTGAGATATAGTCTTTGACTGCGTCTCTTTTTCGTTGAAACACCTTTTTCATCTGAACGCTGGGTGGTGACAGGTAGTCCTTTGACTGCGTCTCTTTTTTGTCTGAACTCTCGTTTTCATCCATCCGGATACTCACTTGTTCTCTTCCCCATAGCTTAAGATAGCCATGAATACCATTTTCAGACTGTGCTGTTTCCCCCTAGAATCACTACCCTTCTATAAACTTATTCTACAGCAACAGGAGAAGTGTCAAGGTGCAATATCGGACAATTCTCACAAGGTCTACGGGTATTTTCGAGGGCCATGATGATATGCTTGGCACGTTATATGCGGAGGAGTTTACAACGATGTAGTTCACAGAGAAGTCTCTACCGAAGCTCGCCAGCTGGAGAAATTTCCGACGGATGTTTAATGAATCAACACCCCCTAGTTTAAGGAACTCAATGACAACCCAAGCGTATGTATGCACTGAAAGGATGATCTCGGGTTATCCGGATTGCACGCAGTTGGTAACAGGAATCCTCGCGTGCTTGTGACTTGTGTTCATATTTACAATTAGGATATTCCAAGGATTGTCTGCTAAACCCATAGCTGAATTCGTGTGGTGATATAGAACAGGCAGAAAGCTAAAAGGTATCAAAAAAGCCAAGACGCCATGACCATAAAAACATCAGTCGAAAGTGGAAGCCGGAGCGTAGATAAGAATTGGTCATCATTCGTCAATCCAGCCTTGAAGCATATACTTGTGGCGGCTGGGTGGTTTGAACAGAAACACCGTCCGCAACACAGACTCAATCTGTAGGTACTGATATTGTATCATATTGCCAAGCGTCGAGGCCGAGGCCCAGATTCATGCCGCCAGTCCAACCCCGCGGCGATTTATGCGTCCCCGTAAGTTTCCATGTGTATCACTTGAGAGTCCGCTATCATACACACATCAAATGGCAGATAGTCAAATGATGACAAAGGGATCACCGATCGTCTTCCCGTGTTGAGTATTGCGGCGCCAATCACCGGCGTCGTTCGAACCAGGCAGACGAGCCCATGACAGCCACGGACTGGTCCATCATCCACTCGCCAACGCCAAGGTAGCTGTCAACCCATTTCTTGACATCCTTATTTTCTGTGATCTTGTCTGAATTGAGGCTGGGGCTAGGAAAGTCCCACGCACACACGACCCAACGGGGGTGCGCGAAGGGTAACAGAGTTAGCCAACAGTTCTCCCATGCATATTGAGGGCATCCAAGGCGAGCAACAAACAGAATGGATGATAGCTTGGAAGAAGAGGATCGTGAGGGGTAGGGGTGTATTTACGTTAGGCCCGTGGAGCGCTTGACACCTGCCAGGAAGGCGGAGACTGAGGTTGAAGACACATGTTAATCTATATTCCTAGGTATAACAGAGAATTAGAACTCACAGAGAACCGCATCAAATGCGTAGTGGGTAAGACGGCCGAACTAGATTGCAGCGAAGATCCAAGTCAGTCATGGCATGCTCTATGTTCTGGGGACCTCGGCTGTCCGGGATCAACCAGCAAAGGTCTCTTACCATGATGCCGAGTAGAAAGTATCAACACTGTGGATATTGATTAACTGGTATTCACCAAAAAGCTTGGGAGACAAAAGTAAGAGGAGACCCAAGCTGTCATGGGGACCGCCTAAAGAGCGGTCACGTGTATTTTCACATGACGTCTCTAGAGTGGCTAGAGACAAGGCTGGTGAAATTGGGTACCTGACATAATCTGCAATGTGGCTGGGGCCAGATGGGGCCAAAGTGTCCAGGTTGCCCACTGAGGTGCCCAGATGCGCTAGCCCCGATCCGGTCTATCGATAAGCATTCTCATCCCACCGAAATCCCCTTTCGCCTCTGGGCCCCGGGGGTCTCTGAGCTGGGGCTCGATCAATTGGATATCTGTATTTGTCACATTTATTCGATAGAAGGACTCCAATCTACAGCGCGTAGGCCAGCACGGGGCAATCCTCCGCTTTTTTGCGGTCAACCCAGTCTGGAGTTGATATATAATTTTTTTTCTGCCTAGACTATTTATGCCGCCTCTGCCGACAACTCCAGCTCTCAGTAAATAAAAAAATATAGGTAGCCAAAGAGAAAGAAAGGATACCAGACAGATCCACATATTTCATAGAATTCGTAGATTAATTTGGTATAGATATTGTCTAGTTTCAATAGTATGATCAAAAAAAAAAAGTCTCATGATAGATGGCACCAATACTCACACCGGCGGCCAACATTTTCCCTCCCGCCCCGCACCCATCCGTTTTCTCTTTCCCCTCCATCTCTCTCACCCTTTCTCTTCTACCATCCTCTCTGATTCTCAATTGATCAGAACTACCTTACCCTTTCTAAAATAATTCAACAATTGTTGATCATATCGAAATGGCGGCCACCAACTCCCTCGACCACCTGAGCAACCGCATGAAGCTGGAGTGGCACTCCAAGCTCAACACCGAGATGGTGCCTGCGAAGAACTTCCGCCGCACCTCCATCATTTGTACCATTGGTATGTCAACCCAAGAATAATAACCTCTTCAGATTGATCCTGTCGAAGAAATTGCGATGGAGAAAAAAAACCCCGAATACTAACAGGTAATCGATCAGGTCCCAAGACGAACTCCGCCGAGAAGATCAATGCTCTCCGCACAGGTATGGCAATGAAGTTTCCGATGGAAACGAGCAGCTTTGTTGGGTAGTTAGACTGACATTGGCCATAGTTGGTCTTAACGTTGTTCGCATGAACTTCTCCCACGGATCATACGAGGTCCGTATCTCCAATCAACATCTGATCCAAGACTTTCACTGACTTTGTCTGTAGTACCACCAATCTGTCATTGACAACGCTCGCGAGGCTGCCCGTATCCAGATTGGACGCCCTCTCGCTATTGCCCTTGACACCAAGGGCCCCGAGATCCGTACCGGTAACACCGTCGGTGACAAGGACTACCCCATCAAGCAGGGCACCGTGCTGAACATCACCACCGATGAGGCATACGCCACTGCTTCTGATGATAAGAACATGTAAGAACATTCTCATTGCCAAAAACTGGATTGTTTCAATCGACATTCCTTCCATATACCCGCGTGGCTGAACGAGCTTGACATGTGACGTGGACTGACAAGTGTGTGACGACAGGTACTTGGACTACAAGAACATCACCAATGTGATCACTCCTGGCAAGCTCATTTACGTTGATGATGGTATTCTGTCCTTCGAGGTGCTTGAAGTTGTTGATGAGCAGACCCTTAAGGTCAAGTGCCTGAACGACGGTAACATCTCATCCCGCAAGGGTGTCAACCTCCCCGGCACTGATGTAGACCTTCCCGCTCTCTCGGAGAAGGATATTGCCGATTTGCGATTCGGTGTCAAGAACAAGGTCGATATGGTGTTTGCCTCATTTATCCGTCGCGGCAGCGACATCAAGCACATCCGTTCCATCCTTGGTGAGGATGGCAAGGAGATTCAGATCATCGCCAAGATTGAGAACCAGCAGGGTGTCAACAACTTCGATGAGATTCTCGCCGAGACCGACGGTGTTATGGTCGCCCGTGGTGACCTCGGTATCGAGATCCCCGCCCCCAAGGTTTTCCTTGCCCAGAAGATGATGATCGCCAAGTGCAACATCAAGGGTAAGCCCGTTATCTGTGCCACCCAGATGCTGGAGTCCATGACATACAACCCCCGCCCCACTCGTGCTGAGGTTTCTGATGTCGCCAACGCCGTTCTCGACGGTGCCGACTGTGTCATGCTGTCTGGCGAGACCGCCAAGGGTAACTACCCTTGCGAGGCCGTTAAGATGATGTCCGAGACCTGCTTGCTGGCTGAGGTTGCCATTCCTCACTTCAACGTCTTCGACGAGCTGCGCAACCTCGCCCCTCGCCCCACTGAGACCTCCGAGTCCATTGCCATGGCCGCTGTCAGCGCCAGTCTGGAGCTGAACGCCGGTGCCATCATCGTTCTGACCACCAGGTATGTGCCGGGAAACCCTTTCTGTCCTTTGTATGACGGTCATACTAACAAATCCATAGTGGCAAAACCGCCCGCCTTGTGTCGAAGTACCGTCCCGTCTGCCCCATCCTGATGGTCACTCGCAACGAAACCGCTGCCCGCGTAAGTCCCACTCTCGATAGTTTGAATGTCGTTCTTTGCTGACAATTGTTTCCAGTACTCCCACCTGTACCGCGGTGTGTGGCCATTCTACTTCCCCGAGAGCAAGCCTGACTTCAACGTCAAGATCTGGCAGGAGGATGTCGACCGTCGCCTCAAGTGGGGTATCAACCACGGTCTCAAGCTCGGAATCATCAACAAGGGCGACCCTATCGTCTGCGTCCAGGGATGGCGTGGCGGTATGGGCCACACCAACACCGTTCGTGTGGTGCCCGCCGATGAGAACCTCGGTCTCGCCATGGAGTAAATCTGTAAAGTCAACCAGATAAGCTTTTGATGATCAATGGTCCAGTGTGCTTTTTTAACCGCCGGTGTGCGGATGGGATACATACCTCTTTTTCTTCTCTGTTCTCACTTTTTTTTTTTGCTTTCAAAGCCAAGTTTGTTCTGCGCTGTGTGGTCTGGACCACAGTCTGGAAGGTTAATGCATTGCTCATGTAAATGAAACGAATTTAATTCTTTCCAGTCAAATTAGTGGATTAGTGGGTTAGTAAAGACTAGACAATTCAAATTGAATAGACATGAAACTGGTATTTTGTGTTTGAATTTTTGTAGTGTCGCGCGTTGAGAGTTCGCGATTGTCACAGTAGTCTTGCATTCACATGCCAATGCATAGATTGACTGCTCGAAGTTCATACGGGATTGGAACTAGAATGATCCTCATTCAAGAGAACTCCAGTTGAAAGTAGAAGGGGGAAAAAAATGAACGAACAAAAACCAGATGCGGGGGAGGGACGCAGAGACCCGAGGCAGGCCACCTTTAAAATCCCCCGACACCGAGGCTTGCCCATCTGCCCGAGAGGGTGACGATATCCCCCGGGCACATGCCGCGGACGTATTTTGTGCTTCCCACTCTCTGTAGCAGGGAATGATGCGTTTTTTTCGAAATCGTCTCGACGTCACATTAACGAAAGGAATAAAAAGAGAATTAGAAAAAAAGACAATTAAATTAGTTAAAACAAATTTCGCGGAGCCTTTGCCGTCCCGATCCCGGTTTCAGCCGATGGTTCCAATATTGAGATTAGGTGATATATAGATCTTTGTCATTTCAAGTGGACATTATATGGTCTCTCCGCTAGTAGCGTGGACAGCACCGATATTGCGAGGTGTGGAAACCAAGCTGTTGTTCATGTTTGGTCTAATGCACACCATGTCGCTGTAATAACACTTTCGAACCGAACGCACGTCATTTTTGACTTTCTATATACCGTCCTGTGAATATCAGCTAAAATTCCTTGTCAGTGCATGGATAAATTCAGTGCTACTTCGCAAACCTTGACAACTGCATCATTTGCAAGGTCTGGTATTTGCCGTTTAAAGCCCCTATTATAGCAATCGAACAAGGTGTGCGAGTACATTCAATCGGGGGCAGTCATGCACCTAACTTGGAATCTATTGTTAGTTTCCTCTCTGCGGTCTCAACTAGGCTTCTGAAACAGGTCCACAACACATTTGGTAAGCTGTAAGTAACATGTCGTGCTGACTTTTTATGCTCATATCCTCGCCAGCTGTTGATGTCTTTCCTACACCGGAGGCTCCATGACGAAGCAGCACCAATCCTTTGCCTGCCCCTCGACTATCACGCTTTCATCATTGGCGATAAAAACACATGGCAAAAGATTCGATATATGAGGCAGAGATTTTCGCCAGAATTCGATCTAGCCTATGTTGCTAGCCTCCGTTGGCAACGGAGAAATCGAGCCCGACGGCTAGATAGATAGGACATCACCTAGGACAGTTAGCTACACGCCCTTCTAGGGTTAATATCTTTTGTCTCCTACATTTTCTAGTTCGGATCCGCTAGTACTTGTATAAATTCTGTATAACGTGGTAGTATATCCGTTGTTGGCTGGTCCACATATCCTTAAAATATTAATTTAAATTAACCCTAAAATCCTAAAACATATATACATTCCATGGTTCTGAGTATCAGAACCTCCAATAGCACCTATGCCAATTCACACTCGATCAGACTCTCGACTCCTTTCTGGGCACTCCAAATCTTCGTGATCTTCAGCCCAGCAGATCCCACCAGCTGGTGCCAGTGAGCTTCAGTTCGCTCGGTCGAAGCGAAATCGGCCATCATGATAATATCCAAACTGGTTGTCTCCCAGTATGCGTTGGTGTCAGGGATGACATTCTCGTTAATCAACACCTTGCTGTGTCCTCGCTTCATGACATCCACAAGGCCCTTCAAGATCTTGCGGCAGTTATCGTCTGTCCAGTCGTGGAGGACAGAGTGCATATAGTAAGCACGAGCACCTATAGAAGAAAATATTAACATTGATATAAGTCAAGAGGGGGGCTATAGAAGAGGAAACAATACCCTTGATCGGCTGCTCAGTGAAGAAGTCGTGCTCCATTGCCTCGATTGAGGGGTGCAATTGCCCTGATTTGGCTTGAGCGACCACATCGGGAAGATCCTGGAGTACCAGGCGCCCAGGGGCATCAGACCACTTGCGTCTGAACTCCGAGAGATCGTGGCCCATGCTGCCACCGACGTCGACGAGGAGAACATCATCCTGTGCGACATTGGAGAATAGGCTGGGCACGTCATAGAAACCAACATCCATCCAGCTAGGACGTCCTTGGTGGTAGACAGACATGTGATTGTTAAACTGGCTAGCAGCCTCTGGGTTCTCCTTCATGAACTCGAAGAAGTGGAGATCGGTTCGGAATCCGCGCTGGAAGGCACAGTCCTTGCCGTTGGCTGGGTTGGCATATCCATCCTTCTTGAGTTGGGCAGGCAGAGCAAGTATGCCGGAGGTGATGCAGTTAGTCCTAACCAATGAGTTAGTATTATACCATTTGATTCCAGGTCCACAGGGTCCAGACTTACATGCAAGGGTACGCATCACTGTATCGTTGCAAGCTCAGTGAAATGGAAATTCCGGTGCGGCGGTATTCGTTAGGACCGGTCTCGAGGATAACTCCCATTGCACACAGATGCTTCAGGATCCGAGCTGATCAGATATATGGTTAGTTAGGTGTACCCGACAAGACACAGGGTGAGATGGCAAGCCACATACCAAGAAGCACAGGGTCGGCACATGTGGCATTAGCCAGCTCGGTAGCAGACTTGGGCCTCTCATCCTTGGACAAAATAGCAAAGATTCCCAGGTCAACGGCTGTCTCCACAGAAGCATAAAGAGTAGCCTAGAAAGTCAATATTTAGTTTCCGTCAACGACACAAAGGTGACGCTCTAGGAGCATGCGAACATACCTGGGACCAACAGTATCTGATCATAGCCTCACGCGGGGTCTCAAGTGCATAGACCAGGGATCGAGCGGCTTCCAAGAGTGTTGTCCGATCGGTGTGGTCTTGCAGACTGGCGACTTTGCCAAGGGAGGCAACTTGATCAACCAGGCCAGGAACCAGCTCGGGTGTGTTGGCGGAAGTTGCTACACGGTCGACGAAGGCATCCTGGAGGTCTCCGTTGGTCTGGGAATCTCCATTTGCATGATTTGTGCCGTTCGAGTGGGTGGTTTCACTGAATGTAAGGCTTGCGACGTCGGCCATTGTGGATATAATATAAAGAAACTTGATAGTACAGAAAACGTGGAGTTTGAAACTGTACAAGTCAAAAGTACTTGAGGGATCTTTAAATAAACTACATTCGCTATATATGCATCCCCTTTCCTGGGATAAACCGCAGTTACTGTCTCCTTTTGTTTTAACAAAGATACGCCAGATGAGCAACGGTTGGACCGGGTGTAATCCTGCGGGTCCGCTGTCAGAAAGATCGACCTGGATTAATTCCACTCGGACCATGCGGGCTCCTTGTGTTGCGAAGGTTGGGGGCCAAGGAAGTGGAGACTCGGTAACTGAACGGTGTTCCTATTTGGGCAATCGACTAGCAGATTGTTCTAACGGCTCGCTATCCCGTGTTTGTTTGTACTTAGCACGGAGTAAAAAGTACGGAGTAAGAGGAAATTCAATTAAAATTAGAGCGGATGGACCTTTCCAGGTCCCCGGATGGACCCATCATGGGATGCCTTGGAGGAACTACTGAGTTATTACCTGCCCATCGTGCGTTATAGGTAGTTGATATGCCAAACCCACTTAGTTAGGCTTGAAATCTCCTTATTATGTTTGTGCGAAAGACCCATACTGACTGCATTTTTGTCTTGTGCACAGTGGAGCATGTGCACGTCAAAAGGCAGACGTTTACATATCAGAAAGGCTAAGATTCTAACAGAACCGAGTGAGTGGATTGAAATATATTAAGATCCACATCGGGTCCTGTCAAAACGGGTTAACGGGTTGGTGGCGCATTTCATAGTGGAGGGACTCGACCTCGGCTGCGTCGGAGCACCGGGGTTGAACTCTATATTGAAGGTTTATAATTCACATTTGACGTACTCGGTACTTTTGTCTGATTCAACGTGGGTTTCAGGGAAGGCCCAGCCCCATCTGGCTTGTGAAAACCGCTGACTCTCCTCATATTAGGGCTAGTTTCACGAGATTCTCAAATTCTTGGATTCTTACCTCCGTAGTATATTCTTAGAACAACGTATGATCTTCCATGGCCAAGATATCTATTTGTAAGACTATCTGGGCCAGATGTCAAGACTGACAACCTAATTATTTGATATCAAAGCAGTATGTACTCCGCAACTCTGTGGCTATTTTCGATGTAGCACCGGAGGCCCGTCCGCAAGGGATCATCCGGGACGGAGTACGTCTGCTGTCATTTTAGCGGCATCGCCTAACAGGTTAGTGCGACAAGGGTCCTATACCCCTATCCGAATAAAAGGTGGACTAATACATACTCCGTATGTACCAACAATACTGTAGGTAATCTTAGCCTCGGAGATTAATCGTCGAACAGTGGTATGGTGCCTGTAAAAAAGATGAAAAACACGGCTTGCCAAAATGGGCGATCGTCGCAACCGAAAACCGAAAGAATTCCTGTTTACTGGACCTCTAGGAATAATAGTTATTCGAATAATGGCACACTTAAGTCAATCCCGTCCCTGAATCTATGTATCATTTTTCGTAAATCTTGATATGGTAGTGTTAATTTTAGCAGGCTCCTCTAGGGTTTTATATAACCCAATGGGTCGCATTTTCTCTTGCATTTTCTCGCTTTTTCCACATCAAGCTTAACATAATGGCGGTAACCGCTGAAAATCTTCACGATGACAAGGGGCCTAAGATCCTGGCTGTGCTGTGGACCTTGACTGGACTAACAACCGTCATGGTCATAGCCAGGGTTTACATCCGGTTGAAGTTACTGCGGAATTTTGGTATGGATGATTATTTGATTGTGGCTTCTATGGTAAGAAACCTCGAACTTTGTCTTATCTAGGTGAATCTAATAGGGATTTGTATGCTAGGTACTGGGGCTTGCATACTGCGGAATCTCTACAGCAGGGGTGAGGGTGGGCTATGGAAAACATGCCATGTACTTGAGTATGGACAATCTGGAGATGGCCATTCTACTCAATACAGTCAGCTTTTTGTTTGGGATTCTCTCTTTCACTCTCCCCAAGATCGCTGTGACCTCCATGTTGACCCGGATCTTGAATCCCAAACCTCTGCATAAGACTATATTGTGGATGATGGTTGGAACCGCAGCCGTCGTGTCCATTATCTGCATTCTGATCTTGTTTACAATGTGCGATCCAGCAGAGGCATTGTGGAAGCCCAGGCTTGTGGCAGCAGGCGCCAAGTGCAAGAGTACAACGATGCTTATTGACTATGCTATATTCACTGGAGGTAGGTCTCTCCCTCTTCAAATATCTGCGCCTCACGGAATTAACTTGTGCTCCTAGCTATCTCCGCTCTTGTTGATCTATCTCTGGCCATTTATCCGACCACAGTCTTGTTGAAACTACAAATGTCTCTACGAAAGAGAATTGCCCTATGTTCTGCTTTAGGGCTTGGTTCAATGTAAGCCGATATCGCTCAAACTTATTCCATGCTGCCCAGAAGCTGACCGAAGTGGCAATGAAGTGCTTCTGCGATGGCGATTATCAAATGTACCCAGCTGCATGGACTCGCCGACAAATCCGACTACACATGTAAGTCTTTCTGCTACCCCTATTATCCCTGTACGATCAAAGGCTGACCAAACAAAAGACGGCACTGCCGATCTTGTTATGTGGACTAAGTGAGCACCCTTGTTTGATCTTCTTGTTATGCGATCTAACCGTTTGTTCTCTGTGTAGTATCGAGGCGAACGTCGTCGTTATAGCATCCTGCATTCCCACCTTACAACCACTCCTCGAAGTCATTCTCGGCAAGCGAGCCCTGGGCTCCTACAGTCAAGGAAAGAGCGACCAGTACAAAAACAGCAGCAATTTCCCCTCCTCATTTCATCGCTCCAAGCAGTCAAAAACGCACGACGATCTCGGGTTTACCAACATCGATAACCAAGAGAGTCAAGAAAACATCCTTCCCGCCGATGATCACGGGAAGAAGAGCCATCCTCTAGGACATATCCACCGCAAGGATGATGTGACTGTGGAATACGAACCATCTACACCAAAATCAGGGCCGGGATATACTCCTTGGTAAACATGCATACCGATTTGCCGATGGGCATCGCATTTCTGTGCAAATTAGTGTCCACTGGATGCACACACACACACCTTTGACGGATTTCTTTATCGTGTTTTTTAAATGTATATATTATGTACTACTTATGTCGAACGTTTGGATTAGAAGTTGGGCAATATACTTCTTCCGAATGGATGAAAGCTTTGAATATATTACTTTATAGCATACAAGAGGTGATGAATATGGCTTCTTATCCATGGCTCATCCACATATTCACGTAGGTTTGGCCCAGCGTTTCATATAAAAAGAATGTCATAGCCCAAAGTTTGGACTAATATACCATGAGTATCCCGAGGTTGGGTACTAGAAACCAGCATAAATACAGTGGTTTACATAGAGACCTAAAAGAAATTTACATGACCACATTGAGTAAACGGAAATAATTTGGGACTGGCTATGAAAATGCTGGTATGAAATGAGTGTGTTGAACGAGGCAATGCAAAGTCATGATAAACAGAAATTCGCAATAAATGAAAGTATCACGCTGCGCTCCGCCTCTTCATGCAAATTCATCAAGTCGTAAATCATTAATGTAAGTTGTTCATGGCCGCAGATCAAAATGAAGACCATTAATAACCGGGGTCTTCCACAAACCCGTTCCCATCAACAGTCTCAGCTTCATTGGGGTGGTTCTCATAGCGGTACATCGCACTTGGTTGGAATTGATGCCAGCAGCTGGAACTATTAGTACTAAGTTGCACAATCAAGAGAGGATATATCAACTAACCTTGGAGCTTGAAGGACATATCGAGCCATCGCCTCACGGAAACGACCTTTATACTCTCTGGGACTTGTGACCGTTGGGCGATTGCGGCCACCGCCACCAAATCCTTTGTCCTTGATCCAGGACTCGAGCTTTTTGTCCCAGGTGTAGGTGCGGATACAGTCAATGATCCCTACCACTAATTCGTTGCGGCTTTCATCGATGGCGATCATGAGCGAGTAATCCATAACGTCTTGGCGACCCAAGAAGAGTGTGTCATTCCACACACTTTGACCAAGAAGCTTCTTTGAGTGCTCGCGGGCAAAGAGAGGTGTCTCGTAGATGAAATCCACCATGTTCTCGTCCAAGAGAACCTCGTTCCGTTCGCCGGTGCTCTCTACTTTGCGGTTTCGCATTGAGCCTTTCAAGTCGAAGATACGCGTAGGAACACGGTCGTAGAACAAGTTCTCCATAAGCAACAAGAACCAATTGAACTCCATTCCTGTGACGGGGTTCTTGATGATGACTTGGTAAAAACCAAACATCTTGGCGATTGCTGAAGGGAGTTCATGGAACAGGGCTTCGGACATGATTTGGAAATAGGCCGGGGCAAATTTGAGGAAAGCCTGCGTCTCAATGGGCGAGAGTGACTTGAGAATGAAACGATCGTCAAGGGTCTTCAGGAACAACGATTTTGTTTTGCCACCCTTTGAGTCCCACTTTGCGCACCGAGACAGCGACTCGACGATTCGATCTGCCACACCGCACTTTTTGCGCAGAGCATCAAACTGCTCAGCGTAGAACACTTTGCACAGCATCTTGGCCTGGCCTTCTTGGAATTGATATTTGAGGTGTGTGCCCGTAGGTCGCAAGAGAGCATGTTCGACCCGTGCTTCCTTAGCAGCCTCGATGTCATCTCCATCATCTGGTTTGTGTTCTTCCGCCTCGTCAAACCGCTGTTGAATGCTTGAAAGTTTTTCTTTGTAGTCGGAAGAGTCCAAAGCGAACGCTACCAAAGAGCTTGGTTCATCCTCGCGAACAATAATGTTGCAATCAGCAAAGACATGATCCATGACACTGAGTGGATAGTCAAGAGACGGCCACCCACTTGCAGAACGTTCAGACCAGAAGTTTGTCAGAATTTTCAGAAGGGTAGTGCGCTCATGTTTAGGGAGTTCTTTAAAGTCAATTGAATCGTCCTCTGCTGAGTGCTTGGTCTCTTCATGGGAATCTACCGGATGGAGATCTTCAACCATGTTTTGATCCTCATCACTCTGGTGATCATCTGCTTCGCCACCAGACAATAATTGATTGTCAGGAGAGAGTGCCCTGTCCACTTCTATGGGCGCTGGTGAAGAATCATCTGGCAGAGAGGGCTCATCATGAGTTATATCATCATGCGTAAGTTCATCGCTCTTGCGGGTTATGTCGTCCATTGGAATCAGTGGAGCTGAGGGCAAAGATTCATCGCTATCAACGGGTGGTTCACGTTCTTCAACAGCCTCTCGTACATTTCGATAGACCTCCACGATGGGCTTCGAGGACGGCAATGGGAATGCTCGGGACTGAGTGCCCTTGGCAGCACGTTGCCGTCTTTCGCGCTGTCTCTCCTTTTCGAACTCACGGCTCAATTGCTCAAAATGCCTGGCAAGGTTGGAAACCTGCGACACTCCCTTTTTACCTGGAGCAGACCGTGGGATAAGTGAGTGACCTGAGGCAAATCGGGCACTCTTGAGGGAACTCAAGCCCAAACGATCGCTCAGCTTTCTATCCGATGACTTTGTTGATGATTGGCCAGCAGGCTTTTGCGGATCGATTGGGTTGGTGAACGCTAATTTCAACCCTGGAAGTTGAATGCTGTGAGATGATCGTGGTAGATTCGCTGGCTGAGACTGAGCACGGACAAGCGGAGGAGATCGTGCCTTGCCGGTGCGTCGAAAGGCTGGCTCGGTAGGTCTCGGTATCGCTGAAGGCCGACGTACTGGGGTACTTGGCATGTCAGAAGCCCCACTGTCTTCGGTCCCATTCTTGGTTTCTTGATGAGCAACTTCTGCAATCTCGGAACTTTCCGGTGGTGATGATTCCGATGAGCCGTCTCCGGGGATCATCACTGGAAGATCAGAATTGATGGGAGGTTCAGTCGAAATGCCAGCATGGCCGACGGAGCTGCATTCCGACTGACCAGTAGGAACAGCCAAGTCGAGATGACGGACTTCTTCTTGTGAGACAGCCTCATCCTGGGGAGAGGACCTCGTTCCATCGGCTGTATCGAGTGATAAAGTTACTTCCTCGGCCGACGCTGGAGGAGAAGGCAACTCGACTTCTTCGAGTTCCTCACGGTGCTTTTTGCCAGCATGCTCCTCGACAACGGAGACTAGTACATTTTGGGCCTTTTCTGGTGACAGTGTCATACGTCGCATCATCCGTGGCCTGTCAACTGCCAGGTTGTGTTCATCCTCGACGTCTGTAGGAGTCTGAAGGGCATCATCTGTAGAAACCGATGCTACGTCTTTGTCGAGGAAGATCTTTTTGAGTTGCAGCGTTGCCATATGCTTGATATCCTTTTCCGATGGGAAGAAGTTCGTTTCAAAATCGGCAAATGTCATGTCCCATTCGACAACCTTTTCTTGAACTGCACGGAGGACCTCATTCAGCGGTATAATCTCCCAGTAGCGAGAACTTGTGTATCTGTCTTGTAAGTGTCGGACCAAAGAGCTATGGTCTTCATGACCCTTCTTGACCAAAGTTTCGATTTCCGTCTTGCAGCTCTCAACTAGCTCAGGGATAACACTTGTGATTTTGATGCTTTTCAGTCGATCTTGTACAGAGGTCATAAATTTGCTGATACGTTCCTCGGTACGCAAGTATACTTCGTTCCTCAGCTTCAAATCATTGTCCACTTTCCAAGTGACACGAGGTCGTGGAACGATAATCTCGAGAAGACGAATGGGGTCATATTGGACTCGCACAGCAAGATCCCTGTAGCCAAAATAGTGGAGGTAATCCCGCCGCAAATCATGCGAACAACCTCCAGTACGAGCAAGCAAGTGCCTTCCCCAGAAAGATAGCTCTAAGTATTTTCCGAATGAATATTTCCATGTGCTCGACGACATAGGCATAACTTGGGTTTCATTGCCACAAATTTTGCAACAGCTCCACATCAGCACAGAATTATGGAGTCCACGCAGCTTAGGAGGACAAGACTGAACCAGGACGCTGATCTGAGCCTCGCCATGGACATACTGGCGGTGGTGTTCGAACATGCGCTTCTCGCAGCCGTTGATGTTGCATACAGAATTTGCTGCATGACAAAGGTCCTCGACATACTGCCCAATTGTGAGATCCGACTCGAAAACTGTGTCATCCCCATGTTCATTGTAGAACTCCAGGGCAAAAGTATCTGGCCCTGAGCAGGGGACTGATGTTGTTGTGCACACAACACTGTAGAGAATGACCAGATTCTGATGCGCATAAGGGTCAAACATATTAGGATTCCCCGCCACGTAGGCTTCCCACTGGCGTTTTTGGGTTTGATGGTGATGAAGCGCCCGATCGTACTCGGCTTCATGCGCAGCACGCAATACTTCCTTGACTTTTGCTGGCGCATCTTGTGGTGATTGATGGACCATTTCCGGGGTGATGAGGACGAATTTCTGCGGTTTGGCCTTTTCATCTGTGGTTTGATGCGAGTTGCGGTCTTGATCACGAAGAGACTTCAGATATGAAAGTCTGCGTTCCATGTCGCGCGCGCGCATCAGGAGATATGGAGGTTCGAATTTGACGAAAGGAGAGGCCGATAAAATTTTTGTCTCATAGTCATGAACCATATCATCATGGTATGTTGGCATTGGGATGTTGTCTGGAACTTTTGCAGCATCAGCATCAACGAGAATTTGGTTATCAGAGATATCGCAAAGGTTCTCCTTTGTTTCCTGTTGAACAGTAGGTGGGTCGATTAGATGTGCGCCGCTTTCGTGAGCGATACTCTGGGGACTGGATTTCTTGTCTTTGTCTTGCTGAGTCGTCGGGTCTTCGGTTGATATCCTCCCAAATTCATCCCGCATAAGATTTGTTTCTAGGCGAAGATTGTACACAACGTAGATCATGAACTCAGTGATCCTTTTCACATTCCGGAGGACTTGATCATCCCCACCGCGCAGGATAATGGTACACCCGAGCTCTTTCGGACAGCCGGAGATGTACATATATGTTTTCCTTCGACCATTACGAACATAGGTTTTCACGTCGAAACTGCTGCATTCACTATGCAATGTGGTCGTCAAGAGCTTGTCCATAGATGTCATAATTCTAGTCTGTGTACATCTCGACACGGCCTCGAGAACGGATGGCTTCACGTTGTATGCAGTCGCAATCCCAGCTTGCTCGAGGAGGCCAAGAGCCAAACCAGAAACAGTTTTCTCGACCAACAGTAGGCTTGGACGCAATGCTGAGATCCGACTGACCAAATTCTCTAGAAACTCGCGCTCCTGTCGAATGAGCGGTTCGAGACTCATAAAATGTTGTTGCTGACGAGCATATTCAAGAGGAAACGTGATGATCAAGATGTTTGGACGCAAAATGTTGCGCGACATGCCTTTCAGAGCCAAATTTTTCGTGAAAACGAGTCCCGATACATAAGAAGTGTCACTAGGGTCGCCACCCGGAATCTTCTTCAACTTGACGTAGTGTCGGATGTCCATATCATCCCCTTTTTGGACATCTGGATCGACCTCGTCTGCTGCTTTCAAGAGTATTGGCATTAAGGCGTTTTCCCAGCTGTTGTCATTTGGCACGGCAGATTCTACAAGCAGTTGACGCAGAAGCTTTCGTACGTGTTCCAGACTGGCTTTGTTTAATTCTACCGGTGGGGCATCAATGCCCCTCATTGATGAGCTCCGAGTCATCTTAAAGCCAACCTGCTTTGAATTCTCAGGTAAAGATATGGCCGGCACCGAGGTGTCATGAGAGGGCATGTTGTCCTTTGATGTCCTGGGCGAATGGCGCGGCTGATAACTGCTAGTAACGCTCAGGTTTCGACGACGAGAGAAACGGGGTAGATTCACGGCTCTTGAACTGGTGATACTGGCTTCGTCTGCATCTCGATTCATACTGGGAGTACCTCGGTCTCCAAAAGCAGATCTGCCTTTTTTCACGGCAGCGAGAAGCCCACCAAAGGATGCCCTCTCGTTTTCACCCCCACTCTTAGACAGGGTGCCCTCAGACACTGCAGACAACAGACTAGGTTGCTCATCGCCACTGGATGCGTCATCTGAGAGATATTGGGCAAGGTCAGGGTCAATGATATTATCTTTATGAAAGGCGGGGAGTCGAGATTCAGCGTCTATGTCTTCTGCATGTCGGCGTTGAAAGGGAGCTCGATCTTCATGATACGACTTGAAACCCCGAATATATTGCTGACGTGAGTGGTGACGTTTGTGACTGATGGAGTGCGGTCTTCCCCCAGCGAAGACCGCAGAGAGCGCGAAGAGGTAGGTCGTGCTAGAGGGCGATCAGAATCAATTTCAAGGATCGCCGACCGGCGGTTATGTCCCTCTCCAGCCCTTCGTGTGGCCGGTATGGCCATCGTCGGTGTTCTCAGAACGTGATCGATCGACTGAGATACAACCGAAGATGAATCATCGTCATCTGCAGATGCCCGCCCAGTATTAGTCCAGCCGAGTTCGGAGACTCGAGGATTGGCCACTATGGGGCTCTGCTCGCTATCGGAGAATTCAGATGAATCATCGTCGTGCGCGTTGATCATCTTCTCGCAGGGTTTGCAAACCCGAATACTTCCAGGTTGCCCGAACCGTGTGCCCGAAATGAGAAGAGTGCATTTCGAATCAAAGATTTGACCACATGTTCGACAGTGGTGTTTTCTGCGAAATGTCGTGAAAGGTTCTCCGCAATAGAAGCAGTCTTTGGCATTCTCGTCTCGCATCCAGAAGTCCCGGCTAAGCAATTTACTCCTCAACTGTGACAAAAGACCGTCGCCCCCGGCGGGAGGTTGGCGCCTAGCTGGTAGAGATTGACCAGTAGCCCGATCGAATTCAGTGTTCAAAGGGGGCAATGAAGAGACCGTTGTGGTAGTTTCGGCTGTGGAGGCCCGTGAAATCACGTAGCCAGGCAATCGCGCTGCTCGGGTTGAGGACGCTGGCTCTTCATTCGACCTGCCGGGGGCTGTGACCTTTGGAGGCTCATTGGGGTTCACGCTGTCACGAGGAATATTTGTCTCCATGTTGGTTTGGAGTCTTTCAGTGTTGTATGGTACTTCGTCATGGGAGGAAAGCGTTGATAGACTATTTGACACAGAAACTGAAGCTTTCGGCTCTTCAGAAGGGAAAGATGTTCGTGATTTTCTTTCTTCCGAATGCTGTGATATATGGTCCTGCAGTGGCTCAGATTGCTTGTAATTTTCCATGTTAGCTGATTGTAAGGTATTTTCGGGCAGCATTTGTTGATCTGGAGTAGAGATGGACTTCCGAGACTGGTTATCTGGAGTATAGGTTGCCGAGAAGAGTGAGTCTTTGGAGTTAACTTCCTCATGATAGCTGTCATGCATCTTTGCAGACAGAACCGGCGAGCTAGAAAGGTTCTGATTCAATGAAGAGGACGTTTGACTCATGGAAAGATCCAAAGGGCCTTCCTTGCTGCCGATACTTATCAATCCTGCATTATGGTTTCCCTGGAAGGGGCCATTGACGGAGCTGCTTCTTGAGCGGTCGGGGTTTCCAATTACGTTCACATGAAGCTGGGTGACAGCAGGATCTGCCACGATGGCGCTACCAGTGGCTTTCGTTAACGGAGCGATACTGGGCTTGATTCCAGGGGATGGCGACACAGAGGCCTTGGAAGATATGCTGCCACTTTTGGAGGATATTCTTGATCTCTTTCCTACGTTCGATGGTTGTACAAAATCTTGATGAGTGTGAAACTCCGGCACAACAGGTGAGTGGAGCCTTGATCCTTGTGACGAGTTGGGCTGTGATGGCGGGTAGTCGACGGAGCTTGTAGCAAGATCTGAGACTGGTTTTGCCGTCGAAGGCTCCGACAAAGGACCCTTGACTGCAGGAGTTTCTGTTGCATTTTTGTCTGTAGACTTTCCGCCACCGCTGACAATATCCCTCACTCCCCCGACGGAAGTCCTGAAGCGACTATACAGACCGCTTAGTCCACCTTGTAACTCGTCAGACAGTCCTTTCTCGTCTGATGTAGCAGCTGGATCTGGCGGGCTAGTGAAGTCGTTGAAGAGAGTGAGCGATTCGGACTGATACGCTGCATTATGGTAGTTATCCAGAGCTGCATTCATCGATTCTCGTTCAGTCTGAGTCGTGGCCATAGAGTCGTGTGATCCGCGTCGCCCAAGAGGAAGCGAGTTCGAAGGCACAGGTGGACTGTGCGAGTCCTGGGACTGCTGAGAATCCATGGCCAAGTTAGGCAGAAAGGTCTCAGATCATCTCCATACAGAATACAGTGACCGTTGATAGCCGATCATTCGGGGAAGGACTGCGGGAAGGTCTCAGGTTTAGCGAGTTTGGGAGAAGGAGAAGAAGATCAAGGGTGCGAAAAGGCGTCTGTCAGGGTGATCAAAGAAACTTCTTTGCAAAAAAGAATAGGTCCCTTTGCCCTCCGCACTTTGAATGACGTGGTGGTGCTGAGTAAGCTAGGCGCGTCTCCCCGGCAGGTAATCGATAAGACGCGGTTGAGTGGTGGGCTTTTTGATACGGTGCGACCTTACCTTTTTTTTTTCCTACAAACGCTGGGGATACAAATATTCCATGTTCACTGCTTACAGTCTTACCAGCTATGACCCATATTCTGTGTGTCAAGTTGATCACAACACTGGATTCGCACGATGAATCCAGTGAGTCCCTGGATCGCGGCTTTGGCCGACCAATGTCTCTCATTCTATCTCGGTCAAAATGATCAAGATGAAATCCAGGTGGAGGATGTTGATGGATGCCTCAGTTTCAGTATTCAGAGCCCCGTACCCAAGGCAGCCATTGTTGTATTAGTAAGATATCTTCACCAGATGCGAAACACCGAAAGAAACAAAAAAGAATTGTCGCTAAATGTATGTCTATCGTCTATTAGTGGGAGCAAGGAGAGCACAGTCACCGTGCCACACTCACGGACACCAAGAACCAGGTTGATGCGATTATTTCACGAGACTCGCCGGACACACAAGGAGCAACCTCTCCCTGCCCACCGCCGATCAAAGGAGGCCCCAGGCACCTGGTTGAACTTTCCGATATCAAGCTCATTTTTACGTACTCAGCAGCTAGCCCGGATGTTTACCTTCACATCAATCGCATTGCCATCCACCGGAATGCGGTCCCAAAAGGGGATGTGCCGAAACCAAAGCTCAGGAAGACGGCGGCCCTCAGGGCCCTGATGGCTATGGTGTGCGAGAAAGTCCAAAAGACCGGAGGGCATGCTGGCTCCAACAGTCAAAAATTTACTGGCTTGGCCGACTCAGCTGTTTCTCGTCGTGATCAAGCCATGCCTCATTCTCAAATCAACTCAGCATCACAATTACTATTCTCCCAACCCCCGCCTAATATGCGCCATGGTGCACCGATGGGTAATTCAATGGCCAATCGTGTTTCCATGGGGTCATCAGATCTTCTAGGATTGCTTGCGCCTACCCATCCGATTCAAACGAAAGAAACTGCCACTAAAGATGAAATCAAGTGAGTGGCACTACAAGACATTAGCAGATCTCTAACTGGGATACAACCTTCATCCCGGAGACTTTCTAGCAACACTGCTGATGCGACGTGCGCTAGTAAATCTCCTACCAATTCGTCTTACGCCGATATCACACGGGCAGAAGTGGACAGCTTCATAACGGAGTGTAGGAATCAGGTTGAACAATCTCCAAATCAGTCGGATGGTAATGGCCAGGCTCATACCTTTGGAACGATGGATAGCCAGCAGTTTTCGCGGAAAAGAAATCGTGGCAGCACAGATGCGCCGTCACCAGCAGCTTATGGCGATGACCTAGGTTCACAGGGCCGACAAACTCTAAAGACATCACCCTCCAAAAAGCGACAGCGTATTGACGCCAGAGAGGTGATTCCAGCGGACCCAACTGGATTTGAACAAGTGCAAACCAAGCCCATGCCGCCACTTCCTAACGTGGGGGCCATACGCACCAAACCAGATATTGTGTGCCCATCCACAACAGATCCATGGGAAGGAATGACAAAAATACCTTTGAGTGAAGTTGATATTCCAAAAGATCAGGCAGAACTGTTGGAAGGGCTCAAATGGATCCCTGAGGATCCCGGAGTATCTGCACCTCTATGCCATGTACCGCCTCATCTTTTGACGCAGTGGAACAAAGTTGCACGAAGAAGGCAGCCTTTGGCAGAAGAAGCAGAAGCAGAAGCAGAAGCAGAAGCAGAAGTAGAGGAAGAGGAAGAGGAAGAGGAGCAAGTATCTGAACGTGCCCCGACCCCGACCCCGCAAGATCCCTATACATCTCCCCTACCATGGTCTTCATCCCCCAATAGGAGCCCCGCTAGAGATGTTCTTCCACGGGACACCGCTTCTCCCCCAATATTCGTAAGGCCTACCAGAAGAATTTCTACGCCAAAGAGTACTCAATATTGCATTGATCGATCTGCAGAAGATGGCGATGTGGGCATGGTGAATGGATTGTGCAGTGCTCCTCAGCCAGGGCAGGAGGGTATCAACACAGCAGACCAAAAATGTTCGCCGTTTCTTGAGGAAGTACCCACAAACCCGGGAAACCCAGTGTCTTTGGACCACGATCCCGGCAATGACCCATCCCAAAACCACGAGGCTTCAACATTGCTTGATGTGGTCAATGACCAACCCCAAAGTCCTATGCAGGAGCATTCTCATGGTGAACCACCCGTGGAGAATCCTCCACTTAGATCTGGAATGTGTGATGAATCAAGTAGCGATGAGAGCGACGAGCCAGAGATGGAAACATATGTTCCTTTCGCTCTGGGTGGAAGCCTTCCCTTAAGCAGTCAGCCTGAGCAGGAACTTCCTAGCTCGGGACCGTCGCTTTCAAGATTTGCAGGGGGAACCATCCAAGTGGTAGAGACACCTGCAGTCCATACCACACGTCTGAATCCCGATAAAAAAAGCAAACAGAGAGCTGGGCTTCAGCCCCCGAGCTCTGAGCAGCCATACTCTCAGGCTCCGAAGACATCCCCCTCTTCTCGAGTTCTCAATACCTACCGCTCACAAGATAGCAACGGGCACAGTCACCTATCCCAGGAGGCACCAAATCCATCTCTACCGGTATTGGAAGACGAGCCACTGCGAGTGGATGTGCTTGGTACTCAGACTCAAACGAGCAGCGTACATGCACCATCTCAGGCGACAGTCCAGTCGTCCTCGGACGTCGTACTTGATTCATCGAGACCTGCTCAACGACAGCGTGGGTCGTCTATCTTCCATTTAGACCCCTCGGACGACCCGTCGTCTTTTCCCTATGCCAGGTGTCACTCGCTGCCCGGGTCTCAACTTCATGAGCCAAGCCAGGATTCTTCGAGAGGTCCCTTTTCACTCGACGAAGCCTCGCATTTACCGGAGTTGTCCCCTATGGAATTCACCACCTGGGTCGCTGCTCAGGGAGAATCGCCATCCAAATATTTACGTCCCACGCTCCCCGGGAGTGCTGATGCTGGCCAAAAGAAATCTCACAATACAAATGTCGAGTTGGTAGCACGGCGACAGGGCTTTATCGACAAGTCTGATAAGTACGCCGAAGCACAGACAATCTATGGAAAGTTCTGCAATGATTATTCGCCGTATTCTGGCGATTTCGCTCACTTCACTAAGATGTGCTCAAAACTGCAGACAATGCGGCAAAAAGGCCAACTACAACGGTCGTTCCTCTGGGATGACTTCGTCATCCAACACTTAGAAGAGTACCCGCGGTACTTTGCGGGCCTTTCCTCCCAAGAGTCCAAGGCACTTCAATACGAGCACTGGTTCTCCTCCCGATTCTCCCGCCCCCAACACAAAAAGAGAAGCCTCACAGCCCATGGAGTTGACATAGTCGCGTCTCAGTTTGTTCCGCCCACTAGTGCCGAGCTGGAAATCCCGCCGGTTCCACATCAAGCGACAATCCAAAGCGAGGTAACCCAGGATAAAGGGGTCCAAAAAGAAGTGCGCAAAACTTCTTTCACAACCAGTCTTGTGGAAGAAATTCCAACCCTCCATGCCCAGTCCTTTGATGATGTTACTGCTCCGGATGGCTCCATGCCCACTGCAACGCAGTCATCGTCCTCCTTTGCTAGTACCGGCTCGGATTCCGTTGACGTTAAAAAAGAACCTGCTCCGGATGGCTCCATGCCCACTGCAACCCAGTCATCAACATCCTCTGCTAACACCGACTCGGATTCTGTTGAGGTTAAAGAAGAACCAGATGATTCTTTCGTTCAACCGATTGCCTCCCAAATTATCACAAGCAGCAATGATCAAAAGCCTATGCCCTCCAGCCACGAAGAGATAGTTGATGCAACGCAATACGACGCAGATAACACTCACATTGTGCCTAATGCGAACGACGTTGACATGATCGAACCCAACATGGATGAGATTGACGAGACACAAGGGGATGATACTCACCATGAAACTGCCAGCATTGAACTTGGCGATGACACTGACGATCGGCGCCTCTCTGCCTCCCCCGCCCCGCCCGCGGCCCTTGGTGGTATGAAAGCCGCCGAGCCCGAGCCACCAAGGCAACGAAGACCCTGGTTCCGATCTCTCCGGGAAATATACCCGAAAGGCCCTGTGTGGTCCGACGACCCCGACACGCCGTTCAAGCGTTGGGCTCGCCAAGACCAGAACGTTCTTCAGGAACTCAGGCGTCGCGGCGGAGCCAGGGTTTTAACTGATGAGAAGGGGGTCATCCGTTGGCCCACCTACAATCAGGAGAAGAACCCCGATCCCTAGGGATTGAAATTGTTCTTCACACACTTTCCATTCAAGAATTGTATTTCTAATTTCTATGGGCCAGTGGCTGGCTCAGCGCATCGGCAAGGAGTACGCGGAACGGCAGATACCATTTCATTTCATGCTTACTCGAGCAAAGGGAAACAAATGGGATGGCGTACCATCTCTATTTTTTTTTTTTTTTTTTATTCAGATTCGTGTATTATTTTTCTTGTACAATACATATCTTCTAACCACCTAGCCCCTGGATGTTAAACCAGAAGATCCAAGCCTTGAAACCCCTTTCATATCATTAATGATAATACTTCGTATCAACCCATAATTCACTAAATCCTAATCATACGCGTGTTTCATAAATATGGAAAGCCACAAAAATCCCCCAATCGGAGTTATTCTTCCCAAATTCCCCGTGGGGCCCCAACGCCTCTGACAGCATCGAATACCGGTACAAAGATACATAGCGAAGTAGAGATCGGCAGCAGTCAGGCTTGGGCCTCGCTGCAGATCCTAACTTTCGCCCCTAAGGCCCCCCAGGCTCGCAGGGGCCGTTGTCTCATTTCGCGATGATGTGAGCCATTCGGACCCACGACGGTGACTTGATTTAGAGTTCCGTAAGATATTTTGGTGTCGGCGGTTTCTAGTGTTATATCTTATTTGGACAGATTATGTCTACGAAATAGGAAATTCAAGAGCCAGATGTTAATTGTAGATGGATTTTGTATTTGAAAGAATTTGCAGGCAGATAGATACTAATGATTCCTCCGTAGAGGATCAGAAAAATATACAGAAATGCAATTGTTCCCTCCCATAGAGATCATAGTCCCGTTGTGCAAAATGGCATGAAGATCATAAAAAAAGAAAATCAGGAAATGGACATGGTCATGAAAAAAAAAAATGTATAAAAAGCCACAAGAACGCCTTGGTATCACCAATCTAAAATCGCTCCAGAATTGGGTGTACAGTCATTAAAAACCCGCATATTTTTAGGCATGACGGTAGGGCTCGTAGGCGCTTGACTGCTGGTTGTTGTGGGTCATGGGGATATCATTGTGGTGGGCGGGGGGAGGAGGGTAGGAGGTGCTGTAACCGTGCTGGGGAGCATGGGGCTCCTGGCTACCGAAGGGAGGGTGGGCGGCACCAATGGGCTCATAAGTGTAGGGAGCCTTCTCTGCAGTGACGCTGCCGCGGTTGTTGCGGCGGTCCTTGTGGCTGTAGGGCGAGCGGCCGGAGCAGCAGCAGGTGCTGAGCATCCAGAAGATGGTGGCTCCGAGAGAGAAAGCGACTGCGAGCCAAGTAGCGACGTAGATGTTCTTGCCCAAGTCTACCTCAATACCGTAGACCTTGAGTGTTGTGCCGAGGGAGCCCTTTGCGATGGAGAACATGATGGTCGAGGTGAGCGATGCGGCCAGAGTGAAGAGGAACGAAACAATGGAGACAATGGTAGTGACACAGCTGCCCCAGCGGCTGAAGATGGCGAAGACACCAAGCAGGACCTGGGCGCAGGTGGCAATGAAGGCGACGAGGTAGGCGATGAACATCCACTTGGAGACGGCCTTGTAAACTTTCATGATCTTCTTCATGCTGCTACCAAGCTCCTTCTCAAGCTGGGTCTCGCTCACGCCCAGAACCGAAGCCGGGTTGAAGTAGAACTGAGCCTTAGGGTCTGTGCAGGAAGAGACGGTATCCTTGCTGTCGGTAGAATTTCCCTCGCAGTAACCCCAGAGACCAATGTCGTAGAAATCAGCAATGTTGGCATCATCCTGCAATGTTTTGATGGTGGCCTCAACCTCGGTTGCGGTGACATCAGTGATACCGGCATCGCTGAGGAGATCTGTGATTTCTGTTGTAACTGCCGATCCAGAACTGATGTTCGAGAGGTCAAGCTATAGATTATTAGCATTTGCGGGTGCAGTAACCATGTAAAGACTTTGATCACTTACACGAATGAAGTATAAATTGTTCAAGGTAGAAGAACTGGCTTTTGTGCAACCCAATCCCACCATAATGATACAGATCAATGACGCGATAGTCAAGACATAGGGCGTGAAGATACACGTAATGCGACCGGCTTTTCCCATAGTGAATTGAGATGTATTGATGTATTGGGGGAGAAGATAGGAATATAGATAAAGATGGTGAAAGATGGATGAGAAGTGGAGGACTGAGATGGGGGAAATGACTTTAATATAAATGCCCAGAAAAGAGTAAACAACAACCTAAAACGCACAGCCTCTAAAAAGAAACTCCAGCCTCCCATGGAAGGAGGCGCAGGATCAGCGGACCAATCAGTGGCTGAGCAGTCACGTCGCCAGGGCCACGTTTGCTTCTATTTGCAGCTTGAGCTAGTCCTATTTGGGTCTAGTGGTGATCCTTTCCCTCTGTTTATCCACCTGTGTATCCCTACATCCACACAAATCCACACAGTCAGATCCTTCGATCAGTCAGAAGAAGGACAATTTGGTGATACAATTCTGTTTAGATGCAAGTCATATTCTCCTAATCATTATAAGCTCTTTTGATTATGTTAAATATTTAAAATATCCCCGATTTATACATGTGTAGTGTACAATGTACATACAAAATTCAATCTATCAAACTTTCGTCATATCCATGTTCTGACCGCCCCAAGATCAACATTCCAGTGGCCAAAACAGGCTGATTCTCCAATCCGAGCCTCGTCACCCTTGTCTGATCAGCCTTGTGGGTCATTTTCAAATTTTCCCTCTCCGCCTCAAGACTGCGTAAGCTTGGATATGGAGTACTACCCTTGTACGAGATAGATACCAGGCTCCTCCATTTTTCTCTTGGCATTATCTTCCATCTCCCATATCCCGCCCTTTCCTCCAGGGCTGTACGGAGTACCATTCCACTCTCCGCTATCTCTCTCCACTAATGGTGATGCCTTGTTCTATATTTATTTATTTTAAATTTTTTTTTCCAGATAAACTTGTCTACATCCGGGTTAATCCCGCGCTGACGAACCTAATTATTGCGCAGCTTCAATATTCCGAGATCCTTTTCGGAAAAACCATGCGCTGATTGACACCTCTCATATGGCCACAACTGATACATGAGCTATAGCCATCATGAGAATTCTTAGTCTTTTTCTCTAGTACCTTGAAAAATAAAAATAAAAATAAAAATAAAAAAACATTGATCACGAAAAGTTTCTTAAAAAAAACCCAAGACTTGTAGCAACCGAACTCGACACTCACATGCTACATGACTATATGTATAGAGTACGTATGTTCATATTCGCCTCAATCGACAGGGTTTACTCCAAGTATGGTTCAAGCGTCGACAACATCCCCGTGTACGCCGTTCCGCTGGGAGGCTCCATACTAAAGATATAATCACCCCACCAAGGTCCAGCACCCCACCACAATGCCCCGAGCCAGACGTCCGAGTTGTCACCCAGATAATCCAGCATACCTGTAATCGCCGTCTTGCAATTATCGTTCACACCACCGGCAAACTCGCCTATGATTCCAACCTTATTGTTATCCTTCAGCCACTGCGTCGCGTCCGTCACGCGCTCTTTTCCAATCGTCGTCGACACACACGTCTCGCTCGTGCCTGATCCATCCGAGTCGAGGTACTGGTGCATCTCGTAGACGATCTTGTCTTGGGGATCGGTTAGGGCCTTCAGGTTATCGTTCACGTCGGTCCAGGTCCACGCGCCGGTGTAGGAGTTTCCCTCGATGAAGATGTATTGGCTTTTTGCCCCGGCTTCACGAATGCCGTCAATGGCTGCCTGGTTGAGCTTTAGGACCAGGTCTTGGTCCATGTCGTGGTATTCGTTGTCTGTGTATTATGTTGTTAACAAAAGGCCTGTGATGCCACTAAAGAGTGGGTGTACCGACTTGTGTCGAAAATGACTAGCTCATTCGAAACGAATTCGCCTGCAACGTTCTTCCAGAATGTCTGGAAGTCGGAGGTGGTTGAAATGATCTCGCCGTTGCTGTGTGCACCCATGAGCCTCGATTTATTCGTTCGTTAATCTTGATCGAACACTTACTATCTTCCATAGTTATGCGGATCGAGCACGGCGTGGGATCCTGCATCGGTGATGGCTTTGACCGTCTGCCATACATCAGTATCCACTCGTTCCCCTTTGGGGAGATATGACACAACATACCGCAGTCAGATTGGCCAGATAGCTAGCGTCAAGCTCTCCTGTCAAGGAGGTCGGTGCCAGCCGTTCCATCCTGAAGGCCACTCGGAAAATGTTCATTCCTTTTTCCTTCAATGTTTGGATCGCGCTAGCATCGGGGAAGATATAATCAGTTCCCTATTCCGAATCTTTATCAGTTGTGATCCTCCGAAGACATATTTAGCTCGCTCACATAGACACCAGGAAGGTTGTTCTCGCCAAATTCAGCTCCGGATTCGCTTGCTCCGAACCCTATACAAGAAATTTGGTCAACAGATGATCAGAAAAATATTTTGAATTTATAGACTCGAACATTTGAAAGGCGAAGCTCTCTTTGCATGGTTGTTGACAGGAGCTGCTGCTGCGGATCCAGCCACAGCAGCGAGGAGAGCAAGTTGATCGAGTCTCATACTGAAGATTCAAGCTCCTTGTTGCATGGAATAAATGGCGAAGACTAGAAAAGAAGAGGAGTGATGTGATGCCAATTCGAAACGATACCAACGGCCGGGGCGAACTTGGACATTTATAGTTCTCCTGTCAGTGAATTAACCTATAAGGCTGGGTAACTAGCAAGATACCCCAAAACGCATCACACGGAAATTAGAGATCACGACAGAAAAGGACACGGAGTTTCCATAAATCTCCAGTCACTAGAGTGGGTTTCTGATGTCGAATAGGTGGGATGTACAGCAACTTCGGATATTACAGGGCATAACAACAACGATTCATCACCAAGGAGGATCCACAAAATCATGTATCATGATGGGAAAACAGTCCTTCTTGGCAACCTTATGCGAAACGGATAGCCAAAAAGGCAATGCCCCGGAGTCTTCATGCTAAAACAAGC